TGTCCATCTTATACAATCCAATTTGGATAATCTCTTTTGCATACTTTTGTTTACCCCAGTTTTGATCTTAGAGCAGTTTACTAAGTCCGCTTTCTCTCGCTCGTTATTTTCTGTGGAATTTTAAAAATTTTGAGAAAGGCATGTTCTAATTCTTTCCAACAATTTGCATGGGCTTAGGTTAAAAATTTAGTTATTAATTGTTCATATTATAGGGCGATACCTAACAAAAAGGCTGAAGCTATTGCCTTTTATGCCCATGAAACAAATTTGAAATCACAGAACTGAGAAATACGAGTTTCTATTCGACTTTTCCAAATCTACTAAGAAAGAGGAGAGTCTATGAAGAACACTTCGAAGTCAAAGCAAGGTACAATAATAATTTACCCAATATTTTTTATCCAGATTTTGTATCGGGAATAAAACGTCATTAAATTTTGAAAAACAGATTCTGGAAGCTGTTTCCATGATGCTATAGTTTTAGACTGCGTTGATGTGTTTACTACGATACTAGAATCGCATTCAAACCAGTTTAAAAGTTTATTTGAGATGTTAAGAAATTACTACGATTGTCACAAGGGGTAAACACTAGAAATCTCAAATTCTTTGCAAAATTTCGATTTTATAAACTTTTGGCTACAATATATTGATTGAAAAAAGTTAGTGTTAAATATTTTTCTTTCTTGATTGAATAAACCTATTTGAAGGACAGATTTTCTTAAGGTCTATTTTAAAAACTAGATCATTTACTACTTTGAAAGAATTCTGGTACAGAATAGATCACACAAATAGGGCAAAACTTCCTTACAAGTTTGTAGGGTTGGAAATAAGTTACAATTGTACGGGCTCGTAAAATATTAGCTTTCTGACGAAAAAAGCAAAAATTTGAAGATGCGAAATTATTGTTTTAAGCAGATAGATCTAAGAAAATCTGAGAGATTGTCGTTGGCCTTAGTATTACTAGCAACCAAGAGGGCAAGATTATAAAAATATTTTGTAGAAATTTCACTAACATCTGCTTCATCAACAACAGAGCTTCGTAGAGGAGCGGTAGATTGGGCTAGAGTCGTAGTAGCACTAGTAGCAGTAGGTATACCAGCTTCCTCTAACAAACCATCAGAGCCGGAAAAACTCTGATAGTATAACGAATGTACCGGCCCACTCGTATATATTGTATCATTATCATGTTGTCGTTGTTGCCGTCGTGACTGCTGTTGATCGAGTTTTTCAATAAGAACAGGTTGAGTGAACTGCAGATCAATAACGTTATCTGTTCGTAGGTTAAATGTTGCCGTTACTGGTGGATTTTTACGTCTGACACGCTCCACTTTGGATTGATGCTCCTGGATGATCTTCGTTGTGCCAGTGGGAGGGTGTTGGATAGCATCCCAAGTCTGTTCCTCAATGGTCACTTGAGGAGTTTGTGTGCCAGCCTCGTTGTGGTCAATGCCTTGTCGGGCATGGAGATGGCTAATTTTGACAGAGACAGGATGACAAGTGTCCGATTCCAAATTT